ACACACACACACACACACACACACACACACACACACACACACACACACACACACACACACACACACACACACACACACACACACACACACACACACACACACATCCGCACACGCGCGTAAAATTTGGGTCAAGCATTCAAATAAAACAAAAACGCATATAAAGTGCAATACAGTAATAAACAAAACATATAATATACAATATAATAACAATGTAAAATTTTTAGTAAAATATGCTATCTATCCCACTTTCTTCAAAATATAAATAAAATAAGTTTAAATTGAGCATAAACAAAAATTAAATTTATATTAATGTTATTTTAAATAATTAATAAATTTTAAAAAGGAAAAGATTATTTTATTTTTTATATTATATAATATATTTCTATTACTTTTATTTTAATTTTTATCAAAATATTTTTGAAAATAATTTAATAAATATTAAGGAAGATAAAAAATAAACCGTATGGAATTTTTTTATATGTAATTATAAAATATGTTTATATAAAAAAATATATAATTACATAAATATATATTCATATGTTATATTTTAGCACATATAGATACAGTTATAACATTATTTTATACATAATTTTATACATAATTGTATCTTATCATACCTAATTATATATGAAAAATTTGTTACCGGCATGAATAAAATTATTTTGTATAATGTGAATACTTAGATGTTTTATTTTGTGAAAAAAAAATATTGCGACCGTGACAGGACTCGAACCTGCAATCTTCGGATCCGAAGTCCGACGCCTTATCCATTAGGCCACACGGTCAGTTACAAGCGTTGTCTTCCACCAAATATATATAGAAATTCGTTCTCTTTTTTTGTCATATATTAAGCTTAAAATATTATAATTAATATGATTTTATATTTAAATATAAATATAAGAAGATATACAACAAGTTTCAAAGTATTATAATTAACAATTTATTTTTATTAATATTTTTATTTACGTTAATGTTTAATCTGTTCGTAAATCAGTAAAACAATCAATTATAATATATATATCATAAATTTTACATTTAATATTGAACACAGGATTACTTAAATTTTGTTATAAAATATTTTATAAAAAGTTCTAATTATTTTTTAAAGATTTTCTGGTATCACAAGCTATTGATGAAATTACTATCACAAATGATTATACTAGCTAAATTTTCATAATTTTTATACTATGGATAACAAAACATTGATATTATTAACAAATTAATTAAAACTTCTATCAAAAATAAAAATAAAAAAATTGTTTGTAATGATTATGGTAAATATATTGATCAAGTAAAATAGCTTGAAAAAGACGGTTAGGGGGAGAGGAACAGAAATGTTCGAAATTGCAGCTTCTATTTTCCGACAGATGACAATATAGTCAATTTTCTCTTAGGGCAGTATTCATTTGGTTGAAACATACTCTTAAGTTCCGGTCTATAATAGGTTTAAGCTTTAAGCCAATTGACCAATCACAATCGAATGTAAGAAAAATAATAGATTATGATTGCTCATTTTCTTTCAATTTAATGCTTACTATTGTAAACCGAAACTTAAGACAATTTTAAATATAAAAACTTATTATAAATAATACTCTAAATATAAGAATTAATTATAAATACCAATGTATATGATGATGGATAACCAGTATGGACACAATGAAGAATGCTAATTCGCGCAGATTACAGAACAAGCCATGTTAGGCTCCAATGAATTAAACACGACAAACATATATAGGCTATGTTAAAATTTATTGGTAGAATTAAAAATTTATATTTATATAACCATTATACATTTTCAAGGATGGCGCCCAAGTGCCCACGTTGTCAATTGGCTAATTTAAAATAAAATTGTTTGATTAATTGATCCAATGGAAAATCTCCAGGCGTCGGTCGTTGTAAGTGACCAATTGCAACGTGGTCAAACGGGACACTTCCCATTTTCTGACAGTCAATACAGTCAACTGACAATCAATTTTAAAATATAGCTATAATAGAAGGACATAAACGAGTTATAAATATGTCTCTTCGAACTATCGCACGCAAAATGTCACAATATAGCTGCATATACAACAATATGATTGTTGAACCAATGAATTTTTAATATAAAGCATAAACGACTTTATGGCATTCTTTATTTCTAACTTTCAAAGTTAAGATTAAAACCGAAGCATAAACCAGGCCTAAGTGTACATAGTATATATATATATATATATATATATATATATATATATATATATATATATATATATATAG